TGTGTGTGTGTGTGTGTTTTCTTTTTTGGAGAAACTGCTGCATTGTGAGTTGTAACTACTTTTCAAGAAAGAATTGTCCTTCAATGATGAAGTTCTAGCAAAGGTAGAAAATGTAACACAGCTCTGCTGGTTCAGATGCGTCCAATAAGGTTGATTTAAAAAGGTCGTACTGTATAATTATTCCACGGAAATAGTATCATTAAATCACAAAAGTTTTGTTTCTTTAACTTTCTAGCACTGAAGTGGCACAAAGGCTGCCTAATAGACCAGCCACTTCTTTTTCTTAAAATATTGTGCTTATAAACTATCTGTACACCTATTAACTTGCAGTAAAGAAAGAGGTTTTAAATTGCTAATTTTACGTGTTCATTCTAGAGTTGTTCCAGACCTCACCAGACACACGGTCGTGAGCATAAAGAAAAAAGAAAAAAAAATCATGTTTTATAATTAGAGATGGGCTGGGCTAGATCTGAAATCATAATAAAACCAAACACCTGACATTCACGTCTCCTCCAAATGTGGGAGAATGTGCGGGAAACCTGACTGGATGTTTTGCAGCCTGCGTGCAATTGGTGACCTCCCTTAGACACTAGACATATCCTTTCAGGAGGGAGGGACTCCAGGGGCAAGAAGGGGACTTAGGCAGCCCGGCCAGAGGGCAAGGCTGTGGTCCAGAAACTCTCCTGCCTTTTCTGCATGCACCCGTGCTTCCCCTGCATCCTGTGCCCCACTTTCTGTTCTCCACCCTGGGTCCTGTCCACACTCTCTGCCCCCAGGGTCCTCTGAGACCCTGTTGTACTGTTAAGACAAGCTGGTGGAATTCCCGGAGACCCGAGAGAAGGGGGAAAGGCCCCTAATTTCCACCTTCCCTGGCCTCTGAGAGCCAAAGGGCCATCTCAGTAGGGATGCTCACCCTTGGCCAGGCTGAGACGGAGGTCCTGGCACCCCACCAGCTCCCAGTGAAGACATCGGCTCATCTGTGGCAGCAGGTGCTCACCACAAGCCATGTGTCGTCTTGGTCTTCATGTCAGCATGGATGCTCACCTGCTCTAATCTGTGCAGAGCTCAACAGACCTACAATGAAAAGGAATTTGGAGAGGCAGAGGCCCCCCGTCTCTCCCTCCTGCATAGATGCTCCTGGCAGACAACTGCTCTTGTCCTGGAGAGGCTGTGGGCCCAGGCAGCTGCACACTGGCTGGTTCCATGGACAAGCCTCCCTCCTCCTTGGGATCGTGACTTTGTGCTTTGACTAACTCCATGTGACATCTGTTTGGCCACCTTGGAATTGTGTATTCGATTTGTGGGAATCAAGCAAGCAAGCAAGCAAGCACAGCTGGGCACGATCCTGTTTAAACGCCCACCACAGCCAAAGAACCATGGATCATATCACAGGAGGCAGGCAAAGGACTGCGCAGGAGAGAGCGCTTCTCCACCTTTCCGGCCTGGGAGGGCACAGACAAGCCTGTCTAGGAGCATCTCATTGCAAGCAAAGAGCAAGAGAGAGACAGGAGCAAGTGAGCATCAGGCGTCCTCCCAGAGGCACAGGACTGAGGAAAGGCCAGGTTCCGAGGCCTGGGGCGGAGAGAGCTGCCCAGAGAGCAGAAGAGGGAGGTCTCAGGAGGTATCTGGAATATATCAGTGTCTGCCTACAAGAGCAAGGATCCCGCGTGTAATCAACGGGAGCCTCTGGGACCTGGCAAAATGAGGTCACCTACATGCTGGGAGGCAGGCTGGGACACTTTCCACATTAGAAAAAAACCCCTCCCCATCCCCTGTTGGACAAAAGTTGCCCAAGAAACCCACATGGAGAGCTGGGGATTTGAAGGCCTTGGCTTGGCCACACCATGGACGCTCTCAGCACTTCTTTGGGTACCGGGAGACAAACCCACAGAACGGGATTGGTGCTCACAGACGCTGCTTGGCCATCAAATGTTTTAGCATAAGCTCATCTCTACTTATAACAAGAAGTCTGTGAAGGTAAAGAGCGGCCATCCTTATCTGTCCAGCAGCTGTTTCAAGGCCCTTTCTATGTTCATTCTGTGCCCAACTCGCGTCACCCCGAGATCTATCAGGTCTTCCTTCTGGAGGTTTGGTAAATGGCTGCCATCAATCTCATTGTCCATGAAGGTCTCTTTGTGTTCGCCCAAGTTCAGACTTTCCAGCCAATCTGCCACATCTGGTTTAGTCCACAGGTGGACAGGTTTAGTTGTAAAAGGCTTATTTGAGATTGGCTGTTGGAGTATTGAGGGAGATGGTGACCTGCTGCGTCCTGCTGGGTTCAAGCCAAATAGGTCCCCTGCAGAGGACTGGCTTGGAAGGCTAAAGACGTCTGAGAGTGTGGGAGAAGGAGAGGCGGCGGCGGCAGACAGAGGGGTGGGCAGAACCTCTTTGCTCATCTCTGTTGGTGAGACCACAGGGCTTGGGGCACGTCTTGTTCCTGAGGTCCTACTTTCATAGTCAGGGGGCCGGCTCTGCAGGGTGATGGGCTGGGAGGTACCAGGACGGACAGTGAAGGTGACTGTCGTGCTCCGTGTACCTGAGACGGTGCTCATGACCTCCGGGCTTCTGAAACAGTAACAGAGAAAAACCATTACAGCCTGGTCACTGGGGAGGGTGGGGAGGCACCAAGCCACACCAGAGCATCTGCACTGGCAGTGAGCAAATGACTGCCATGCCAGGATGGCAGGGGGAGGAGCAGGAGGCAGAGAGGCCTCAGAGATACCACAGCACATCAAGCCAGCCCACTCATCTGACCGAAGGCTGGGAGGGGCTGCAAGGACCTGCCTGTGCTGGGAGGACTAGGGCAGGTGGAGGGTATCCACTCAGGTAGGGCATGAAGACGACCAGAATGAGCCGATGGCCCTAGCTGGAGTGTGCCTGGGACAGCACCCATTTCTCTGGAGCAGGTGATGTGCTCCTGTCCCAGCAGGTGGAGGACATGCACCTTTGCTTGGCAGGGCTCTGCGTTTGGCTTTAAGTCCTTAGTTTTCAGACAAAGAGCACGGCTGGCCCTGCTTCCCTATGTGGACGCCTCCTGGCTATGCAGGCACTCAGGGTCAGAGGACATTCTTCCCAGTCTCAGAGGACAAGTAGCAGTTTGCCATCCTCAGTGTGTTCTGAGCTAACCTCACAAGAGTGTCTGCTTCACGAGGGACCCTGTCCAACACTGGTCAGATGAGTCAGGTATGCTGATGGACCCTTCCCCGCTGTGGAAACTCACTTGCAGGACACGCTGTCCTTACCAGAAGCACATGTTGAAACACCCCATCGTCCAGTGATGCCTCCTGCCCTTCTCACTCTGGCTGGGCAGGTGAAGCTCTCAGAGCTGGGAGGGAAAGGCTTGACTCTCCCAGGTCTCACCTCCTCCAGCCCTTGGGGAGGAGGGTCATTCGGTGCGGGGAAGCCCCTGTTCTCATGGAGGTGGTCTTTTTATGAAATGCACCCTTCCAGGCCCCTGGCAACCTTTCTAGCCACAACTCAGGACAGTCCTTGCTCTGCTGTCCCCAAACTGCAGCCAAGGATGTTCTACCACCTCTGTGGCCACTCATACCAGTAGTGAAAGCAGGTGTGTCTCTTGCCTCCCGGGCTTACGCTTACGTTAATGTGGCTACCTCACTTCCCCAACTTCTGGAAAGGCCCATCCTGCCACAGTTTCCTATCCCTTCAGGATCTGGCTCGAGAGATGTCTGCTGGAGTCCCGGCTTTGTCAAATACCAGCTTACGTGTGGGTTCAGCCCACAAGTCTCCATGTCTTCTGCATAACCTGGGCTCCTTACTCTCCCATGTCTCACAAGAACCACCAAGCTCAGACAGTCGAAATAAGGAGGGTGGTCTAGTGTTAGTTAGGATGAGGACCTTCGGCAAGAGGGGAAGGCATCATGTAGGAGCGTACGAGTCAATCGGGCTACGCTTTCCCCTGAGCTGCCTGTGTGGTGACTGTGCCATGGCCTGGTGCTGACCTGCATGTGGTGGTGCTGGGAGCTACCTGGTTGCTCGTCGAGCCCACGAAACAGAGCCTCATCCACCCTCTAAGGGGCAGCAGCTGCTCTGGAACAAGTAGTGTTCAGCAGTGTTCTTGATCGTCATCACCTGCTGTGGAAAGACCCAGCCGTCCCTGGCTGGGCTTGTGTTTGGGAAGGAAGGGCTCTGCAGGCAGCTGTGCCTATCAGGAGGTGGCCCAGGGGGCTCCTTGGCGGACAGTTGGGGCAAGGAGAGTGGCACACAGGAGATACACGCATCTTGGCAGGCAGGTGGCACTTACTTCTGTTCAGCACGACCCTCTTCTGCAAACACCCGCCATGGGAGCAAATGGAAATGACAATGGAGTGATTGAGACAACACTGCAAAATTAATTAAAAAGCAAGAAAACAGCAGCTTCCTAAAAGGAGGGGATGAAAGCAGAGGTACAGACCCTGGCCAAGTCTTTGTCCATGCCAGTCCCTTCCTGGCAGGCCATCATCGGCCCAGAGCCTGGAAAGTCACCATGAGCCTCCCTTGCACAGCTAGCAGGGAGTCCACCCCTGCCTTCTTTGGCTTGGGATATTGTGAAGCACTTAAGGAAGCCAGGATGGCGGCTCTGAAAGAATGCCAGCCTCTGCCTGAAGCCCCTGAGAATCAGCTTGCTGCTAGTTCCCTAACTCAGGTCCCGGGGCCGTGTTTCCCTTCTGCAGCTCAGAAAGGATAAATTGACACTTCTACTGAGGAAGGCTGCCCCAGGGACCAGGGCTGTGCTTCAAGTCTGCACTTTGAGATGACAGGCAGCCCAGCAGCGGACCCCTGGGGGCATCAGACTTGGCTATGTGGTTTGGGGCTGGCTAGTACCCACCTGGTGTAGCAACAGAAGAGGGTAAGTTGGGGAGCTGGAGCAGCTGAGTGAAGGCCTGGCTGACTGGCCCACCCTGCATCTTCCCAGGAGCCCGATTCCCTCCCAGTGAATCACACCGATATGATTCACTGGATCCTCCTGCGTGCACAGGTCATTATGTTGCTAGGCAACCACTGGGCTGCCAGGCGGAACACACAGGAATCTGTTGCCCTGATTTAGAACAGACACACACGCTTACAAACACCCCCACTTGGATGATCACCCTCGTCTGCCTTTTGAGTCAAACCCATATACAAACTTAAGAATTAGGAAAACCAGCCCAAGAGGGAGCGAGCCACTCAGAGATGTGATGCTTTTCACCAGGCGGGGGTGTCAGTGGAGGGGTGGGAGGTGTAGGGACCTTCTGAGCTTGCAGACTCAGTTTGGTCCTTGAGCAGCAGTGTGGGGCACAGGCGCTGAGGGCGCAGGACTCCTTGGGCTCATCCTTTTCCTCATGGGCCCAGTACTGGTGCTGGGGGCCGAGCCCTTTCATCAGGAACTCTCTTTTGCACCAGGCTCACCAATATGCTTCAGCTACTGTCAGACTTTAGTTAGGAGCCCTGTCATGCAAGGCACTCACTTCCAACTGCTTTATTACTCAGTTCTGCCTTCACAGCACTCCCATGATTGGGGCATTGGAAAGAGACTTGGGAGCACTGAATTGTCAGCTCATCTGCCCCAGGCCTGAGGTGTTGGGATTGGCATCAGCACTGCTTTCTTGTACCATGCTCGTGTCACCCCACCTTTTGGCAGCTAGGAACCCTTGGTGTTTCCAGATCCTCAGGTCCCTCAATCACTCATGGGCTCTGAGCACCATGAAAGACCCTGCCTGGCCCAGAATAGGGGTACAGTAAATTACTTGACTGAATGGTTGATGGGTCTTAGGCCCATTTCCCAGTTGAGGAAGTGAGGTGCCAGACCTGGGAGGGGCTGCTTGAGATCAGCAGTTATTCAGGCTTCCTGCCAGGAGCGCATACCTCAGCAGGTCAACAGGAGCCTGGCTTTCAGGGAGAAAGGCTCACCGTGAGTGTTCTTGTTAAGTGAGGGAGAAGAGAAAGAGACTCAGACTCACTGCCAGGTACTGAGCAAGGAACGGTGTTCTTGCCAGACTAGAGCCCCTTCACTATCAGGGTACGGGAGATGCCAGGGCCTCACTACGTACTGAGTGCCACCCACTGACACCGACTCCTGGCTCAGTGAGTGAGTGAGGTGCTGAAGCCACCGGGGCAGGGCTGAGAGTATGAGATGCCATTATGCAGCTCCTCTCCTCCAGTCACTTTAGGAGTCTGGTCGGGGACCAGCTGGTCCGAGAGAATTTTTACACAACCCACACTGATCTGTCTTAGAATCCAAAGGCTGTTGGGATAGCACTATAGAGCGGGCCAAGAGCTGGGAGCACTGAAAAGGGGGTGTGTACGCTGCAGTCAGTGGCCACAGGGGCCTCAGGTGGGTGGCGGGGGCCTAAGAGCTGGCCAGAACGCACTACCCCCTGGCAGGCAGCCAGAACCCCTTCCGGGGGGCCTCTGGGACCTGGACTTCCATGGGATGATTCTTGTTTCCCAAGCTCATCCGTCCATTCTGGACCTGCCACAGAGGGCTATGGATCCAGAGGGCACCCAGCCTGTACCAGGCCCCTGGTGGAAGCCACAGGGATCCCCACATGCATGCACTCACTGCTCTGTTCCTGCCACAGACAGAATGCAAAGCTGACCTTTCCCATCAAGGCTGATAAAGAACAACAGATTTATCTTATTTTAAAAATGATGCCTGGTGTTTGTCAATTATACCTCAGTAAATCTGAGGAAATGATGCCTGGATTTTCTGGGCTTTGGCCAGCTTGTTGGGGGTCAGTGCACATTACTCCAGCCGTCTGGGTTGTTTCCTGGTCTCTGAGGCACCTACTTGTCTCCAGTGCACAGCCCTCCCCTCCCTTGTCTTGAACTTGGATCTTTAAAGCACCCTTCTGGTGTAACCATATCACACAGCAGCTGCGGTCATAACAAGCCTCCATAAGCCCTCTAATGGCCTCAGGGTTCAAGCCTGTGGCCTGCACATGACTTGCCCCTCAGCCTGGCCCTGCTCAGCCCTCCCATCTATCCTGGTCCCTTTGGCTTGGCGCATTTGGAGAGTTTTCTGACCCCAGCTTTGCCCTCCCAGCTCCCGTGCCTGGTGCTCTGCTTCCGGGGTCTGCACAGAGGGTTTCTGTGTGTAACGCAGGTCGCTCTGATGTCACTTCCTCAGAGTGCCAGCTCTGCTCTGCATGCGGTCACTCTCACCTTACTTCCTTTGCAGCACTTTGCATCCTTTCATTGTGTCTTTTGTTAGCATTTATTTATTGTCCATTTCCCACTGAAAGAATTTGAGCTTCCCAAGGGAAGGAGGAGTGTTGTTTTGATGAGTGATAAAGCCTGTGCTCAGCATGGGCCTGACACGTAGGGGTGACCAATAGCCATTTGCTGAATGCGTGACTGATGACCAAAGATGCCCAGTCTTGGAGGACCCCAGCATCCTCCTGATGTCCTCCTTGTGTCTCCCCTCCCTCAAGCGTGGTACCCAGTTCATGCAAAGCGGCAACTTGAACTCCCAGCCAGTGGACTCAGGACACCATCTGCCTGGCTGTGGCTCCAAGCACAAGGACTGTGTCCAGTTGGCCTCTCAGGTCTGATCCTGCAAAGCGTGTTTGTACCCAGACACATAACACCCAGGTACCCTGCTCATTGGTCCACAGAACAGCAAGAGTACCACTCACGCACAGCATCTCCAGGAGAGAATCATGATCACCGGTAGATTCCCGAAGGCCTCTGAAGTAAAAGGTGTGCAGATGAAGGACATTTGATGGTTGCTGACAGTGCCTTTCACACTCATCCCAGTGTGAGAGCAGAGGGCTGTGGTGGGCACCAACAGACATCCTGTGGGCTCTGCTCCTGGGGAAGGGCAGAGCTGCACAGCACTGGACTCCATCCTAGAGTCTACCTAGCGGTACTGATGGGGGTGGGAGGAGAAGCCTGTGGCTTAGTGGCTGATGCCCTTGTGTTTTCCTTTTTTTGTGGCACTGAGGTTTGAACTCAGGGCCTCATGTTTGCTACGCAGGCACTCTACCACTTGAACCTCTCTGCCAGTTCTTTTTTGTATTGGGTATTTTTGAGATAGGGTCTCATGAATTATTTTCCCAGGCTGGCCTTGAATTGCAGTCCTCCTGATCTCTGCCTCCCAAGTAGCTAGGATTATAGGCGTGAACTGTCACCTGGCTGATGCCCTGGTTTTTGCCTAGAGCACAAGCCAGTGACTTTCAGTGTAGATCCCTCCCTTTCAGGCATCCTTCCTTCACTTTGATGAGCTTACTTCCTGGCATAATCAGGCCACATGGCCCTGAACTGCCTGGTGGCTCCAGTCTTGGCAGGGTTTTCAGATCAGGCTCAAGAGATGCCTCTAACGTAATGTACTAGAGAAAAATTACCCAACTATCTTCCTTTTGACAACGTATTTGTAATCAAGACATCTCCAAATTCCACATCACCCCTGATTTTGGGGAACAGCTTTGAGAAGCAGAAACTTAGTCTCAGTTGAAGTTAAATCAAACATATCCAAGAAAGCCAGGATCTAGGCATCTAACTTTCTACCTCTTCCCTGGGTCCTATCCTGGTTCTAACAAGATGTGAAAAGAACAGTTTCCCTCAGCTGTAGACAAAGAATCTAAGGGTGAAAGTAGTTTTATTTAAAGGGTCAAGTTCAGCCAAGCTTTCTGCCCACTTGCTGAACAATTGAGGAACACTCTGAAAGTCATCCCCTTCATGGTGATTGAACCTTGTTTCTGTGGAAATAGGATTTTTGCACCAGTGCTTGTCTGTCATTCAGAAAGCACGGCCTGTTTTCAATTTTCCCTAGAAAAACTCATTTCAAATTTTTCCTTAGTAGGAATTCCCTCCATCCAATTTCGGGCCTCATTTTGCTCAGGGCCATTCACAGCTCTTAATTTTTAGATGCATTTAAAAGTAGTAGTGAGACGCCCAGGCTGGGTATATCCTGAGTGGGTAACCCCAGGCCTGTCAGTGAAGTGGTGGAAAGGTATGTACCAGAAATGTGTGTGAGTGCGTGGAATGCTGCTGGCTCTGAAGAAGCATCGTGACCCCGGGCCAGAGGGAAGCTTGGTCACCTCATTTATCCCGCAGGACCTTCTGGTGCCTGTGTGTACTGCTGCTCAAGCTCAGGTCCTCAGTGTGTCTTGTGATTCCAGCTCACTTCTGCAAGGACCTTGTCCCCGGCCTAATGTGGTGTGATCCTCAGATTAGAAAAGGAAGGTCAGAGTTGGGTGCCTAGTTTAGTGCCTGAAGTCAATGACCTTCACCTCTGCCCTCTGGGCTATCCTGTTCCTCATGAAACTCCCTTAGCTGGGAGTAGGAAAGACTGGACATGGCTCTGGGTGCTCAGTAGTGCTGGTGATGTCACACCTAGTGACTGCACTTGCCCAGCAGCAGCTTCGCGATACCCAGGAGCTCCAGGTCACTGCCTGGGAGCAGGCCTGTGTCCTCCCTTACCTCAGACTCACAGCTGTGCATTAGATGGTTGCCCCTCCCTTCCAAGGCAGCCTGGCTGCAGCGAGGGGCAGGACTGAAGCCCAGCCGGCTCCCTAGGTGGTGGTCTGGTTCTGCACCTTTCAGCTGTGTGCTCTTGCCTCCTGTCCTTCCTTCATGGCTCTGAACTCCAGGTTCCCATCTGTGCCATGGGAATCATTAAGGGCCCTGCTGGTGGTGCCCAAAGCAGCTGCTTCATGGGTGTCAGCTAATGTTCTCAGTGTGAAGTGACTTGGGTTGTGAACAACAGAAGGCTGGAAGGTGGCAGTTCTTGGCCACTAAGCATGGGTCCCAACTACCATCTTGAAGAAGTCTATCAAGACCCTGCCAGATGATGGCTTTTCTAAGACCCTCCCTGCCTGACAGCCACTTAGAGAAGTGCAGAGGCCCCAGACACCGGTGTAGGGTGGAGCCTTGCTTTGCTATGCTTGTCTACCTGGAAAACGACTGGAAGAGGTGAGCTCTCCAATTGCTATTCAGACAGGCCCCATGGGGACACACTTGGGGATCCTGGCTTGGGGCAGGTGGCCCCCCTTTGCCTAGCAGTGTTTCTGCAGCCCTGGAGTCATTTTCTTTGGGTGCCTTCTTTCCTCCAGACAGTGCTAATGAGGGGAAGCAAGAGGCTGGAAGTGTCTCCCAAGTCCCGATTCTGGCTCCTGCTGACCTTGCACATGAGAAACACCCTGCTCCCCAGCTGTCATAACATCACCTGCCCACGTGAAGTGTGTTGTAAAATGTGGACCACTATGCTGAAGTACTTTAATTGTTCCTTTCATACAATGTAATGTAAAGAGCTGTGTTACTACACAATGGAAAAGGGCAAAATGAGTCAGTTTTTAAGGGTTCCTTGAGACTTTTGGGTGTATCATATTTTCAGGTGTGTATGTGCATGCATCTGCCAAAACCGGGGAATTTCTAAATAATTTCCCTTACTTAGCGGAGGAGTGCAGGGGGAGTGCGCTGGGCACAAAGAGTTTCTCTCCACCTGGAGTAGCGGGGGCTTGCTAACAGTGGGATCACTGCTTCTCTACCACGGCTGCCAGTCGATACTCCTCTGAGGAGTAGTGGGAACCAGCCAAGTAACTTATTTGCACGCACACTGAAAGGTAACTGGGAAAATTGTGGCTCTCAGCCTGCATCTCAAGACCCAAATGCGGGGTGATGACACTGATTAATGGACTTGGTTGTTTGAATCAGATGCCTGCCTAGTGGGAGAATGAAGATAGACTTCATTAGTCAAAATGATGAAACCTGAGATCAACTGTCAGCGGGAGAAACTGTAGAACACCTGCCTGGGGAGCGGTGAGATGGTGCCTGTCCGTCACGGGAAGGGGGAGAGCAGAGCCACAGCAGGGCTTGGTAGGCACCATCCCAAAGTTGCACGAGTCGAGGGGCCGTTCTAGGGCACGGCTGCACACTCAGCCGTCTGGTTGGGTTTACAAATGATTCTTCATATTTTACCTCTTAAACCCTGCCTGGTGCCATGAGTTGCCGGCTGAGACAACTGGAGGCTTTTCCTTTGTGACGACTGCCCTGGAGTAGGGTGGGGTGGCAAAGAGGCACGTGTTTCACTGTGAATTCACCAGTAAAGCCATGACCTGGTGCCTCCTTATCCCTCAGACCCACTGGTGATGGAGGGAGGGAGGTCCTCCACCTCCGTACCCACATGGGCTACCCTCACCAACCCCTGGTTGGTGTGGCTACTCTCCCGCAACTGCCTTGAAGCTCATTTGGGCTTTGATGAGACTCTGCCTGCCCTTGAGATGGTCCTGGCAAAGAGCTGAAGGGCACAGAGCAGAGGTGGCGTCCCTCAGGCAGCCACGGTGGGCGTGGCTTTGTGCAGCCTTGTTTCGTTATGAGTCTTTAGGAGGCATGCCACATGCTGCCAGGGGTGCCTGCGGCCTTGACTGCTGTCCTGGGGTCCAGGAGGGTGACAAAAGAAGCGCAGTTATGGCCTAATGGGTGCGGCCAACGCAGAGGCATACGAATCCCCTCTTCTCATCTGCTGGGGTTGCTCTATGGGCCTTTCCCAGTCAGGACTGGACAACATGTGCCCAAGCGAACCGCAAACTTACCTGGGAGCAAGGCTGGCAGACTTGGCTCCTGCCGGTGACTCCAGTCCTTCCCCTGGCTTTGCTGATTTCTCTCTGTTCATTTGCTGCAGGATTGAGTTCAATTCACTAATGACATTTGCCTTTGGCCCTGAGAGAATTGGGCTTTTGACCTCTGTGATGTCACCCCACAACTTGGAGGTCCTTGGCTGGATGACTTTCGCCATCCCAGACTGGGCACTGCCCGGCGGGGGTGGGGGTGCAGGTGGGGGGATGACAAAGCCATCTGCGTCCTCTTCTAGGAGCGCGTCTTGATAAAGTGCATTGCTTTTGTGAATTATGGGCTTCATTTTTGGCTTTGGAGGTACTGGGGGCTTGTCAACCACAAATGCTTGCCCGTCTGCATAGACTGTGCAGGTGTCCACACTTTCCCCGCCTTCGGAAGACAGGGTGGAGATGCTGGACACTGTGGAGATAGTGCTGGTCGTCTCGAGATGGTGGTCGCTGCTACTCCGACTGTCCACCTCCTCAATCCCGGAGTCGGTGACGGCGTCGAAACTCTCCGGGGGTGGCAGGAACGAGGTGGGCAGACAGTTTGAAAGGCCGGCTGGCTTCTTACTGTCTGCGGAGTTGGCTGGCTGGCTGGAGTTCAACGACGGGGACTGAGGGGTGTCGTTCTTCTTCTGTTTGACCAAGTCCGTGAGAGCGGGGACAGAAGCAGCACGGTCATCAGGGATATCAAAACTATTTGCAAATTCCAGGGGAGGAGGCAATGGCTCTGTAAAAATAAATTCCTCGTCCAAGTCCACGGATGCCAGAGGGGGAGGAGGGATGCGGAATGGCAAAATCACCGCCTCTTCCATGGAGCCTGCCGCCACAATGGTCCTGCCGGGTGCGGCGGGCTCGGGGGCAGCGGAGATCTGTAAAGCACCTTCGGTTTCGGAAACACCTTCTGGCACCGCGGAGGGCAAGTGTTCTGGCTTCATGTCCATGTCCTCTGTCTCCTCCTCTTCCTCCAGGGGGCCAACCGCCTTGGCAGCGTCCACATGTACCATCAGCAGGCCAGCCGACTTCTGCTGTGCTGTGTCCACAATATTGATCAACATGTTTTTCTTGTCCTCACCTCTCCGGTCCTTGCCCAGGTCCGTTTCATACTTGTTCTCTGTTTCCTGCCGCCGCAGAGGCCCCCGGGTATTCTGCCTGGTGACCGGAGGGAAGCCAGTATCCACGCTGGGCCGCATTTTGGTATCAATGTAGAGAGGCTTGTTGAGGTCAGCCTTTGGGGCCTCCCCCTTTGGCCCCTGCTGGGACTCCTTCATGGCTCTGTCCCTTGCCGAGAGTGCCAGGGCCAGTGGGGAGCTGGGATCAAGCAGCCGCCCTGTGAGTGGATGGACGTAATTTTCAGGGCTGGTTGTGCCACTGCTCTTGGGGGGTGCTGCCGGGCTGCTCTCGGGCCCCTTGGCCTTCGATGTGGAATTCAGGGGCCTCCCGGCCTCCCCCTGAGCACTGGCCTCACCACCACCCATGAAGTGATTCTCTGGCTCCCTAGGTGTTGCGCCTGGTGTGGGTGACACCGGCGGCTCGATGTCATCCTCATCACCAAACCCGCCCTCTTCGGGGAACTTGGAGGACCGCATCCGGGGGGCGGGTGGGCCCAGACCCACGTCTTCATCTCCCAGGTCTGTGGAGAGGAAGGCTGGGGAGTTCCTCCTGGCTTCCAGCCGCTTCTCCCGGTCGCGGACAGCCCCAGCGATGGCGGCAGCGAAAGGGCTGCTGACAGTTAGGCTGTCATCGGGTCGCAGCTGGCCTGGCTGCTCTGTGGCCTGGGGGTCTATCTCCACGCTGCTGCCCTGACTGCTCTTGCCACTGCTGCTGGTTGAGGGCTCCTTGACAATGATGGTTGGGATGGGGATTGAGCACGTCTTCTCGGGACTGTCCTCCACGTTGGACTGCTTCACCAGCATGCCCTTCCGCCTGGCTGGCTTGGCAGGGACGTAGACAGCTTTGCTCGCGATCTTCCCTACCTCCGAGTACGGGTTCTCGGGCATCTGGCCTCGCTTGTTGCGGAAGGTGGCCTGGGGGGCGGCATTCCGGCTGTAGAGGTCTTCGGAGTCCAGGGAGTAGCGGTCCAGCTCTCTCCTGTAGAACATCCCTTTCTCCCGCATCATGGTGGCCACCGTGTCCGACCTGGTGGCTGGGGATACCTTGGCAGCAGAATTCTGATTGAACGCGGGTTTAATAGTCCCGTAGACTCTTGGAGTCGGGGACTTGGGGCAGTTGTAGGTGGTAGGGGAAGGTGGTGGGGGAGATGGAGGCACAGACTGAGGTGGAGGGGGGATGTCCTCGGAGGTGTCGGGCATGGACAGGCTTCTGGTGAACTTTAGCATCGGAGGGCCAGAAACTGTCGCTCTTCCTCCGTTATTCCTGTGAGCAGAAAAGAGGCTGCTGTAAGTTACAGCAATAGCCAAAACCCCACTAAGGGCTTTAGGATTGTGCAACACACTACAGCTCCACAAACTCACAAACTCAGACAACGCACAAGTGTTATGAAACACAGCACAAACCACAATGCTATGTTAGTGATGTGGCCAAAAATCAGAAAGGAAAGGAAGGAAAGGGGCAGGGGGTGCCGTGAGCATGTGCAGGGGACTGTCCTACAGGGCATGTATGAGTCCTTTGTGAGGCCAGGCACCGTGCGGCTCTCCAGGCCACACCTTGGTTGCCTGATCTCGTGGCTGCATGTGCACATGTGTGTGTGTGCATGTTAGTGTGTGCATTTGTGATGAGGGTATCCGTCTATGCACTGTTCAGATATGGCTAGGGCCCCTGGAGGCCTGAGGCTGTCACCTACCCATCAGAGGGCAAAGGGCAGAAGGGCTGCAGGTGCTGCATGTGGCCTGGGGAGTGCTTGTACGGCCCGGTTGGTATACAGTACCAGAGGCTCTGCTGCTGTTCACCTGGCATCTGAGTACTGTTGTTCCTTCCTAGGTACCAGGCAGACCTGCACCCATCAGCAGAGCTGTCTGGTGGTGGGCCTGAGTGTGTAGAGGCACTGGTATCCTTGGGATGTTCTCTTCCAAGGTACCTTGGGCTATTTTGTCGTCTGACATGTTTAGGCCATACTGAGGGCTCTATGTACATTGGACTCCCTGGGCCCTTGGTAAGATGGTCGTGAGGTGGCTGGCTCAGAGGAAGTCCACTGTAGTTTGGAACATGCTTGTGAGGGAAGTGAGTCCCTAACCCTTCAACCAAAGGCTCCAGTCCAAACTAGGAGCGGGATCCTGAGCAAAATTTCAGCAGTGCACTTGGTGAGGCCATGCTGGGTCATCACAGAAGTTCTACAGCTGGTCCTGTCTAGGACCCTCTGGAGCAGTGCCTCAGGGTGGGGAGGTTATCATGAGTAACTAGGGTCCAAGTTCAGCTGACTTGACACAAGGTCAAAGCCATGTTGACTAATAGAATCACGTGGGCGCTGAACGTGATTGAGGGCATGGCAGAGGCCTGGGCCTATGGTGGTCTGAGCATTCTCTGGGTGTGTTGAGTGGTGTGATTGCAGACTGCATGACAGAATCTAAGACACGGACACAGAGCAGCACACACACGATAGATGCCAAGGACCAGGTCTCACACTGGGGGCATGCAGGTTTCTCAAAGAGGCAGCAAAATGAATTACTTGAAATAAAAAAAAAAAAAAGTTCCTAGGACAAACTACAGTCAGTTATTTCAATGAAAACTTTCATTCGATAAGGGTATTCCAAATTTAACATACTCCTTGTGGGAGGACAATTTGGCATCGCAAAGATGAGTTGCTAAAGGAGTTCCTGGTTGACCATTCACTACAAGTGTGTGCCTACCAGTTACACTCCCAAGGAGTAATAATTTAAGAATACACCTTATAAACTGGGATACATTCAGATTACAGATTCCAAACTGGAAGGATTCACTAACCTGATAGAAAGATTCTGCTGTCTGACAGGAGGAAATCAATTGTCATTAACCAGTAAAGATCCAGAGGTACAACATGGCGTGTATGCAGCTCTGCCAGTGGCCCCAGTGCGCCAGGAGTGGGCAAGCTTTACGGCAGCAGACACCACCATGGTCACTTGCTGCTTAGTTGCTGCCTACTGCCTTCTCAAACCAGAACAGATACGCCCTGCCTCCAGCAGCATTGCCAGGAGGCATTTCCAGAACACGTACAACTGTGTTTCCTGGACTGACCAGCAAGGCCAGAGACCAGGGCAGCAGCTGTACACTCCCTTCTTCTTACGTGGCAAGGCGCCACTGTCCTGCAGTGGCCTTGGCTTCTAGGATAGTTGTACACAGTAAAGACTGCACTGGCATCTCTCTCAAGGGACTGTCACGAGGGGTCAGGTTTACTCTGGCCTGTCCCAGAGTCAGTGGGAATAACCAGGAAGTTAGCGAGGAAGGCAAGCCACTTTCTACAACACACAGTGCACTGTTTCATTAGTGTCAAGAACCTGACCCAGCCACCCGGAGAAGTATGTCCCTTGAGCTCATCCTACGAAACAGGGACCGTAGGGAGTCCATTTGCTCTGCCTGCTGTTCCTGCCCACCCCACCTTCCTTCCTGGCATATGGCTCTTTCACCCCACTGGTATTATCACAAATAACCTGGCTTTAAGATTGCTGAAACCATCCTGGGTTTCATTCCCATCAGATGAGGAAGGTTTCGTACTCTCCCATGTTCAAATGGCTACTTGGTGGGTGGGGCTGGGTACCTGCCCTCTGGTGGGGAGTGGCTAGGGCACGGATGCAAAGGCACCCGTGGGGGCCAGAGTCCAGAGCTCCTGAGGGCTTTGAGGGCTGCACTTGAAAGCCAAGGGGCAACTTCTTCGGGTGAGGGTCACGCTTCTTACCTATCGATTTCTGCCTTCGCATCGTACCTCGAGGGAGGCCCAGAAATGGGCCTTTTGGGCTCCCGGGAACAGTGGGCGTCATCACAGCGATCCCTTGGCGTTCGTACACAGACTACAAAGCAGAGAGCTGGGGTGAGACATGGCCCTGGCATCCCCTACCCCTGGTGGCGGGCAAAGAACCACAGGAAGCTGTGGGCACAGCAGGCCGCTCAGGAGCAGTTTAAAGTCTCCAGTGATGCAGCCGAGGTGCCGCCCTCCCCACCCTCCCTTTATCCTGGATGGCATAAAATGCCACCATGCCCTGCTCTGGGGACACCATTCACTAGACCAGCTGGACAGATGAATGTCTGAGAGATCAGGGCCAGGACAGATGTCCTCTGGGAAGGAACAGGGCAGTGGGTCAGTAGGGTTTGGCCTGGCCTGCATCCAGGCTCCCTTACTCGCCTGGTGACTTTGGCCAAGTCTTCAGCAGGAGCCTTTGTTATTCCTGCACAGCCTCTGCTGAGCCTGCTCTCAACTCTGGCGCCCGTGCTGCTTTGTCTGTAAGACTGAGTGCTGGCCAGCTGTGCTCCGCAGATGCGGACGCTTGCTGGAAACATGTTTATGTGGACACTTAGGACCCCTGCATGGGGACAGGCTCACCCAGGCTCTGCAGTCTCTGTCTGTCTCTCTCTGTAGCCTGAAGCTGAGGAATGGAGGTGGGATCCTGACCCTTGGGAGGTCAAGGGCACCTGTCCCATGGGGCCAGTTTGGGTTGGGGAGTCTTTGGGACAAGGTGACGTGTGGTGCAGCGAGGGATCAGGTGTCGCCTCTGTGGAGCTGTAGGGGTGAGGAGCCTGAAGTGGGCACTTTAATTTCGATCATTAGCAATGGCTTGTTTTAATGCATATTGCATACAAGTCTTACTAGGTCTGTGGTACTTGTAGGTGCTATTGTTTAAAAGGCTGGATTAAACTGAGTCAGTTGGAACTGAGGAAAAGAAAACAAAGCGAAGCTGTAGGAACAGCTAATGCTGAGACCTGGTACCAGGCACGAGGAGGAACACCACAGGCAGTGGCCAGAAACGATGCAAAGCAAGCCAGGGGTCCTGGAGGCCCCTTGCCCTGGACTTGCCCCGGGGGGCCATGGAGCATCATTTGCCTCTTCCTTACGGGGATGGTCCTGATGGCCTTGGGCTGCAGGCCCAACAAGGGCACTTGGTGCCTTGGGCACATCATGAAGCCTGAGTAGGTTGAGGAAGCTCCTGTTCTGCAGGTGTCGTCACCCAGTCTCACAGCATTGACCAGATGCCTGCAGAAGACTTTGGCATGCTGTGCTGGCTGGACCGGCCTCTCCACCCGGGAGTGGTTCTGTGCGCTAGGCAGATGAGGCGCCCACGTCCCTGTCTGCGACACATTCTCAAGGTCCCTTATGTCGTGGTTTGCGCATGGAGCACATGGAGGGGTGCCCTCAAGGGTTGGGGTTGAGTGCCTGAGTCGAGGCTGAGGTGGTGGGGCAAATGAGTGGTGAGGCCTAGACTTCAGCTGGTCTGTGTCCTCTACTGTGGTCTGCACTGGGCCAGGGTGTTCATCCTGGTCATTTGGATTTGGGCTCCGAGCCCTGTCATATCTGTCATGTCATGTCTGTCCTCCTGTCAGGTCACCTGAGGTCCCCAACCCCAGTACTCACATTCATATCCGAGACTGCTGGGAAGCACCGGCTGGTGGGCCGCTGCTTGATGGTCGCCACTCTTGACTCCACAGCCACGTTCTCCGCAGTCCGGGAGGGCTTGGAGGCCGGGACTATCTCTTCTGGTTTATCTGCAACACACCAGAGGATTGAAGTGGCCCACTGAGGCCAGAAGGGCTGTCGAGTTAGGAGATGCGGAAAAGTAGTGCAGCTCCAGCGCCTGGACTTGCAGGCAGGCGTAGCATGTGGGGTGCATCCACTAGGGCACCCCTGTTTCCCCAGACCTTGCCAGCCTGGGGGTGCACATGGGTGGAGATGGTGGTAGAAGACCTCAGCAACTCTGTCCCTCTGCAAGTGCTGTGCCACCCAGGGTCTGGAATGCTTTGACATTTCTTCAAAAGGGTCACTTCAGTCTTAGGAGCAGGATTCATTATTGATAGTGTTAACCAGCTTTTAGATTATTTTATTTATATTTAAATTTTTTTGGTGATACTGGGATTTGAACTCACAACCTCCTACTTGGTAGGCAGGCACTTTCATCACTTGAGCCATGCCTCAGCCCTTTTTTGCTTTATTTTTCTGGTAGAGTTTTGCATTTTTGCCCCTCCTAACCATCATGATCCTCCTAACCACACTTTCCATGTAGTTGGGGTCACAGGTGCGTACCACGATGTTTGGTTTGTTTGTCTGTTTTTTTATTTGTCTTTGTGGGACTGGGGTTTGAACTCAGGGCTTCATACTTGCAAATCAGGTGCTCTACCGCTTGAGCTACACCTCCAGTCCCAAGCCCGGTTTATCGATTGAGATGAGGTTTCGCTAACTTTTTTCTGGGGCTGGCCTTAAAATGTGACCCTCCCGATTTCCACCTCTTGGCTGCCATGCTGGCTATTTTACTTTTTGAGACAGGGTCTTGCTGTATAACACAGGCTGGTCTAGAACTCATTATGTAGCCCAGGTGGCCTCGAACGTATGACGGTCCTGCTTCCGCCTCAAATGCAGGGGTTATAGTTCTGCACTCACCACACCTGGTTCAACTGTTTGAATTTAAAGAGAGACCCCAAAATGTGGTTCCTTTTTGTAACTAAATGCAGTTCCAGGACAGGGACTCTTTACCTAGAGGTAGGACATGGAGAGTGAGTGTTTAGGCAGTGGGGCAGGGTGCACAGGAGCTCCAGGCCTCCTGTGAGTGCATGCACCTAGGGAAGCTTCCACTTACTCAAAAGAAAGCCAGAGGCTTAAGTGACCCTTAGAAATTTAAAAAAAAGTTCTAAGAAAGGAAATTTAAAATAACTTTCTTTTTGGTGGCCCTGGGATTTGAACTCAGGCCTCACACTTGCTAGGCAGGTGCTCTACCACTTGAGCCACTCTGCCAGCCCCTTTTTGTGTTGGGTACTTTTGAGATAGGGTCTTGTGAACTACTTGCCAGATCTCTGCCTCCTGAGTAGCTAGGATTACAGGTGTGAGCCACCTGGCTCAGACAACTTTCTTTAAACTTGAAAATTGAAGCACGTCCTAGAAGATCCTAATGCCTGGCTCTGTCTGAGATCTGACATAAAGGTCCGTCTAGGGCTGTGAGAACACGGAGACCCCACAGAGCCAGATCCTCTTGTTCCCGTGTGGACTGACTGGCCCCAGCTCTGCTTCCTGCAAGATGCTTAGAGTCAGGATGCAGCCCGAGTGGAGCTGTGCCTGTGGGCACGACCTGTACTGGACCCTTTAAGGTGCAGGAGAAGCAGGCCACCTGGAACATTCTGTCCACAAGCCCAAGGCCTTGTAGGAACCCTAGGGAGCCTGGTGGCTCCCCGCAAAGTGAGTACTGGGTGAGGAGTCCATGTTTCCAAGTTCAAGAAACCACAGAAACCTTCCCAAGATAAGCTGACCCTCTGGCAAAGCCCCGGAGAGCCGCCATAGCATTCAGTGTCACCCAGTGATGAAGCAGTGGCCTTCTGAGAAGGCAGGCCAGACCCAAGGTCCCCATGGGGAAGTAAAGAGAGGAAGCGGTGCACTGCAGCTCGACCAACCCACGTGCTCGTCACATTGCCAGTGGAAGATGGTAATTCCAGACAGGGTCTCAACTATGGTTTCAGGCAAATCCAGTCCCAGTCAGTTCCTGTACGGCCACAGAGCAGCGTTCAGATTTGTGAAGAGTTGTAAAAACAAGCGGAAGAAAAGAAGAAAGTCTAAGAGACCGCGTGGCCTGCAAAGTCCAAATGTTCACTGTCTGGCCCTTTAGGGAAGACGCTTGCTGATCTCTAGTCTGTACCATTACCCCAGTTTACTTGCCAGCAAGATGTTGAGTGAGTCACACAAAGGAAGGAGGTTCTTAACCCTCTCTCTGCGGGCCCTTCCCCGATGAGACAAGCAAGCATCTCAGGTGCTGTCTCCTTTCATGGCCACCTACCCCCAACTGGGATTGCAGGCTCAGTTGGCCCCTCTCGCATGCCCCAGTGTCCCCTACTCCGCTTCTCCCACTTTGCAGCAGCCTCTTCCTCAGAGATGCAGGTGAGCCTGTGCCCCTTGGGAACTGGTCAGACACGGTAAGCAACAGTGGGGCTCTGCTTCTGTTGGCAGTGAGGACACTCTCAGCTGCAGTCACCTTTGTCCTCCGCCTGAGCAGTCTAGCCTCGCCTACTTCCAAGGTTTCATCCACACTGTCCTGGGCCCGCTCCCTGCTGGAGCACCTGTTGCCTGGTCTATCTTCTTACCTTCCTCCCTGTGTGGGCACCTGCCCCCTGCTGGACTGCGTGAGGTGTATCCCCCCACTTCCATCTTGCCCATCTGCTTCCTCGACAGACCCGTTCCCTCATGAGTCTGGGCTAGGATTTTGTTTATGCCCTTTGATGGCTGTGATTGAACTTGTTTCCATGCAGGTCTCCCCTGTCCCCACTGCACCTGTCAGCTGGGTCTTGCTCCCCCTTTCACCCAGGCTCAGGGGATGCTTGGGTTGACCTGCTTTGGTGAGCCAGGTAAGGTGCATGTGTCCAGCTTGTCTGTTCCAAAGCCAGGTCTCTTGGCCCTGGCTGTTTGCCCTAGCTTCGGCAGTCTTTCTAGTGGCCCCAGAGTGTTTTCTCTGAGGAAGGGTTGAGATCTCCCCCAGAAAAGTCACCCTGAGAACCACTAACCTCTCAGTGCCATTGCTGGCCTTGACCCCTCTTCTGCCCAAGGATGGTGAGGCCTGGGGGACATGGAGCCTCAGCTTGAAATGTGGATCTAGATGGGTGCTACCGAGTTATGGGAGGAGCATTTTAGATGGGAGCGCTGGGACCTGCTGGAATCCAGCTGCTCTAACTTGTGCGCAGGCTGCAGAGTACAAAGGTTTCCCTCCTGGTTGCGTGACCGAGCCAGGCTGTTCGCCGTGCCCCTGCTTGGGCCAGACCATCAAGTTGAGATGTGGGTGAGGCCCAGGAGCACCTGGCATGTCCTTCCTGACCTGTCCTCTTTTGAGCTCAGTGACTGAAGGGTGGCAGCTGAGGCTGGGTTTCTGGGGTGTGGCAAGGTTGTCCCCTCTGAGCACCACTGGAGGCACCAGAAACTAACATGCAGAGGTCCTGCAGGGAAAGCCCTGGGCACAGACTTAGCAGGGAGAAGCTAGCAGCCAGGGGCCTGCTGTGTCCCTGGGAAGGGGGACCGTGTCTGGGCACGCTGAGGGGAGGGACACAGGAGGAACAGATCTCCTGTGGTGAAGAGTTGAGCTGCTGAACCGTGGAGAAACTGTTTTTGGCTGGGTCCTTCCAGCAGCCACACATCTGCTTGTCGTAGCATGTGAGGTCCGCACCCGGCATCCTGGAGCACCACCTGGAATCTTCATGTGCCCAGCAGAAGCAAGCAGTGATCTGAGGACTGCAAGGCCTGAGCCTCGAAGAGTTGACCCCTCACTCTGTGGGAACTCGAGGCCTTGTCATGGAGAAAGGTGGCTGTGGCAGGGAATCAATCCACTTACAGAGAAAACATTCTGAGGGCCATTGGCCCTGCTGCTGCCAGCTGTGTTGGGCCACAGCCGCCGAGCTCCCCCTCGGAAAGCATTAGGGCTGTCTGCCTTGCTACGGGCGGGCACATAGTCAGGGCGTGACTCAGCACTGTCCAGGAGAGACTCATTGGCCTGTGTGTCAGGTAGCCTTGAATGTGGACATCCTGGTCTCTGTTTAAGCCTTACCCCTCCCACCTTCACCCTAGCCCACAGAACGTGTGAGAATGGTCTGGCTTGTGGGGTGGTGAGGTCCAGGCTGTCGTTCCTTTCAGAGTTAGGGCTGTGTGATTCGGAGGCACCCTTACCTTTATCTCTTATATTCTCTGACTAATGGCAGCCAATGGCCTGAACTGATCGGCCCCCATTTTTGGATCTTGTTGACAGAACATGAAGGCCTTTAAGAAAAGTGAGTGACCAGGCTGGGGGCTTAGCTCACCTACCTAGCAAATTAGAACACCTACCTAGCCAGTGTGCAGCCCTGAATTCAAACTCCTTTATCACCGCTACCCCAAAACCCCTAAAAAAGCAGTTGAAAAGTGAGACCCTGCAGGTTTCTGCTCCTCATTCTGGCCTCCTGAGGATTGGGCTTAATTTACAGAAGCCAGAATTGGGTCTCTATTCAGGGCTGATGAAGAGGATTAGCGAGTCTAGCCTCTCGCAGCGCTAACACGACGTCCTTGGTGCTGAAGATGGAACTGTTACATCTTAAAAACAACTCAGTTGTGAGCTGATGAAATGCTCTGCCAGTGACCTGGTTTTAATTCTAGAAGCAGTCTACGTTCTCATAGGAACCAGATGTGTTGCCAACGGGTCAGGAGTTGGAAGCTTCCGGCCATAGAGAAGAACAGCTCAGGAGAGGGAGACAGGTTTGTCAGGCTGACTAGGGTGACTGGCAGCCATGTTGCTCAGGCACTTTGGCACCGGCTGCCTGAGGGACCCCCATCAAGGTGACTCTAAGCTCCAGCTGTGTGGGGCGGTGACACAGCCAGAGCCCAGGAGCCAGGTCCAGCAGAGATGGTGCCTGGCTATTCCCTCCACTCTGGGGCCTTTTGAAGAGAGTGGCCAGGTCATCCAGAGTGCCCAAGAGGCCAGGCTTCAGCTCCACAGATACCCACGGGGACCCACAGACACCAGCAGTCAGGTTTGCAAACGTTTCCTGTTGTCCACAGCCATTGTCCACACAATGGCCTTGTGTCTGCCAGTGCTACCATGCCTGTCTTGGGGTGAGAGAGCTCAGTGTAGCCTCCTCTGTGACTCTGCTTCCAGGAGCAGGACTGCAGCCACACGTGCCCTGCCATCTACCAACAAGTTGCCATGCCTTCTCAGGTGCGGGGTTTGTGGCACAGCCAGAGGTGCTCAGCAGGGTGCGAGTCACGGTCCTGTCCTCCCGCCTTGCCTGGTGCCTCTGCCTTTGCTTCCGCCAGAGCTGCCCTGGGCTGGGCTTTGTCCATGAGTGGCCAGTTAGGGCAGGACTCAGGGAACACTCAGGATCACTAGGCAGGGCATGGCCATGGGCTGCTTCACTGTTACAGGAATCTCCTGGGCTGCCAAAACAATGGCCACAGACAAGCTGGCTTGAAAGGACAGAAAGTTCCGCTCTCAGATCTGGGAGGCTGGAAGTCCACAGTCCACTCTGTGGGTGCTAGGGGAGAGTACTTCCTGCCCCTCCCAGCTTCTGGTGGTTTCGGGCAACCCCTAGTGTCCTGCTCATTCCTTCCTCTCTCATAAGCACACCAGTCACTGGATTTTGGGCCCCCTAATCTAGCATGACCTCATTTTGGCAAAGACATTTCTGAGTATGGTTTCATTCATGGGTTCTGGATGGATGTGAATTCCGGGGGAAATGGCCTGACTGTAGGAGTCAGAGTCTTCTCCTATGCCACGTGGTCTTTCTGGAGTGTGCTTCTTACCAGGTTAGGCCATCGTCCCATGGAGAAGGGGAGGGGCAGTGGGAGGGGGCTGCAGCCTTCCCTGGGTGCCTACTGCCCGCCAAGGGCACGCACACCCCCTGCTAACTACAGCCTGTGAGGCAGGGCCCAGTGCAGGGATGGAGCTTAGGATCAGAGCTGCCAGGGGTTGCCAGGGTGGGAGCAGTGGTCGTGGAAGCAAGGGCATTTCTCAGGCCCTCTGGCCCTGGCTGCTGGGCCTTTGGGATCTTTGTGTGTTGTGCACACCTCCCCCTCCTCCTGTTCTAGCCTGATGAAGAGGATCACTGAGTCATTTCAAATATGGTGCCAGTTTTCTGAGTTCAAATGGAAGGTGGATTTCTACTGCCTAGAACTCTTGCCTGTCCTCTGTGTGGCTCTGCCTTGGCTATGAAGACCATGACATCTGGTCTTCCAGAACATTTGCACAGGTGCCCCTCGGGGAGGAAGCAGGCAGGCTACATGCTCTTGGAAGCCCTGAGTCTTGTGCCCCACTTCTTGACAGGGGGCTTTCTGGGCCAGCTCTGTTGTGGCACCTGGGTGGCTGGGGGTCGTCAGTGGCATGCTGTCTTTAGGAAGGAGAGAACGGAAGTTTGGCCTTGGATCCAGGAGGCATTTATACAGAAATGTAACTACAGGGCCTTTGAGAAGAAGGAAGACCCCAGAAAGCCTGCTGAAGCATCCCAGGTGCAGGTAGAGGGAGGCCCTGGCTCTGTTCCTGAACTGTGCCTAGCGCCCCGCCCCTCCCCTTTGCAGTGGGCAAGGACTGTTGCTTCCAACCCTCAGAAAGGAGGGAGCTGGTGGGCCTTTCAGCTGCCCCTCCCCAGGCTGTTCATGAGATGGGGAGACAGGCAACTGTTGTGGCTGTGAGCAGCTGTGACCAGAGGCCCACAAGTACCCTGGGGGCAGTAGGTCTGCCTTGTGAGTGTTTCTCACCTGACCATCTAGGATTCCTCAGCTGAGGTGAATGTGGCCTTTGGCCCCAACAAGCACAAGCTGCACTCTTAATTCAAACCCACACTTCCCTGGGGCAGGGAGAGTCCCCGGCGGGGCTGCAGGCCTGAACGTGATGTGGACCCAGCATCCTAGAGCTGACATGGGGTGGGGTGTTGGAGTCCAGCAAGGCCAGCCTCTAGGCTAGCAGCCTTCCTTGCAGGAGCCCAGGCCTTTGCCACCACAGCCCATCCCATGTGGCTTGCCCTCTGGGGAGCCTCAAAGATGGGGGTCCAAGGCACCTGCTAGCCAAGGCAGGCCCAGCTGGGACCACCCAGGGTCCTGGGGGCTTCCTTGCCATGTTGATGTGGACACAGCTCAAGGGGGAAATACTGAATAGGTTGGGGGACTCAGACAGGAGGAGCCAAGCAGACCGAACAGACTGAGACAGGATGTGTTCTAGGGCAGGACCTTGGGCAGGACCCAAAACGGAGATGACACAAGGCTCATGGCACATTCTAGACTTCACACAGTGGTCACAAAGGAGGGTCCTGTCTACCGGGTATGACGGGTAAGAGACTGGAGACAGACACTTGTGCTTCCCTTACCCTTCTTCTTCCAGACCGAGGCTTGCAAACAGAAAGGGAGCAAGATAAACCACCTGATGGCAGCGCCCACCCACAGCCCACACCTAGGCCTTGCTTAGCTCAGGGTGGTCATGGGAAACAGGTGCAGGAACCCCAGTGTGGGGGGCAGCTGAGGGCTGTGAGGAGTGTGGCTGTGCTGCTTCACAGCAGCTCGCTAGGACCGGAGCCTGGGCTCTCGTTCCTCCTCGCCCTGCTCATGAGCCTCCTTCCTGGTGGGGGAAAAGGTACTGTCCTTCTTAGCTTACATCCTTTCTCCCCACCAGCACCCTGAGAGGTGGGAAGGGGCTCTTCAAGGACAGATGTGAATGGAGTCAGGCCTGTGGAAGGGCAGAGGCCAGAGGCTCAGAGGCCTCTGCAGCACTCCCTGGAGGATGAGCTGCTTGCTGTCCTCCCTGGGGAGCTCCACACTGGCCCCTTGGCAGAGCAAGCTAGTCTTGCAGGTCGACTTAGAGAAGACTACGTGGCATATTCACATGCCACCCATCAGGTGTGGTACACAAGGAACTTGATGTGGTCAAGGTGGGGGCCTGAAGGGTAGGGCCTGGGGGTGCTGGTTCTGGATGGGATGGGCAGCCCTGCAGCAGAGCCACCTTCTTCTAGAAGACTGAGGCCTATGCCGAGCTCCAGATGCAGTGAAAGGAGGCCCAGGCCCAGGAAGGATGCTCAGTGGCTTCTCCTCCTGTGGACAGTGTTGTCCAGCTCCTACCAGAGGGGAGCATGAGGAAGGGGTGGCTCCCTGCTGGTCCTATTGATGGTTTTTGGGTGGGACCTAAAGGTCTTTGAGACAAGACTGGCATCAGTCAGAAGTGCCACCAAGAGGCACTCGGCTCTCAACCTGCTGGGTTACTCTGCGTGGACTACTCTTGTCAGCCCTAGTCCTTCTCTCTACACCTTACCATCTGTCTGGCTCACCCACTCTTTCTGGAGGTGTCTCTGTGCCCCTGGTGATTTCCCAAGTGGCTGGCTTCAAAGTAACCCCCACCTTTTTTTTTTTTTTAAACTAAAGGTCACCATGACCTATGTGGCTGACGGTCACCCTTTCCATTCTGCCCAAGGGGGACAAATGGCTGAAGCCTCCCTTTCTTGTAGACATCATAAGGTGCTGAATGCATGTGGACCTGGCATATGATAGCCTCTATGCCAAGTCTCCAAGGGCAGGGCTCTGCGTCAGCAGACCCCCAGGCTGGACTGAGGCAGGGTCAGTGGGAGTGCCTTAGACAGTAGGGGAGCTGTGGCAGGGACCCTCTGGGGCTGCTTACCTTTATCCACTAGTGAGAGGCCCAAAAATTCAAAACAAAACAATGTTAGATAAACAGAAACAAGCAACAGCACCCCCCAAGGCTCCCAATTTAGATGGCAAATGTAGGGATCCCTGGGCATGCAGGAAGGGGAGGGTCAGTGTCACTACAGGGGACAGGCAAGTCAGCACATGGCCATGCACAGGCTGAAGCATTGCAGAGGGCAGCATGGGCCAGGTGGGACAGGCAGCAGCTCTTACCGAGCTCCTCCAGCTCTGCGGTCATGGACTTGGAGCGCAAGGTGAGGGCAGTGGTCGGCGCTCGCTTTGGAGGAGGGGGAGCTTTATGGGTAGACAGAGGCATGGGTGTGAGAACCACCATAAGGCCCCATGTTGCCTGCACCACTAACCCCCGCCCCCCCATCCTTTTGGACATGGGAAGAAGCTGGGAGGCAGCAGCCCTGGAGCCTCTGGGGCAGGCGGGCTGGCAGGCCTGCAAATGTCACTCTGTGGCCTGTAGGTGAGCCATAGGTCATTTTGGCCACCCTGGTTAGGGACCACACAGGTGCTTAGGATTGCACAGGGCGGACACTTGGCCTGGGAGGGTGAACAGCACTGTCTCTGAGGAAGGGAGACCCACCCTGCTCCATCTGCATGGTATCTGCTAGTGACTATGGGGCTTGGGCAATGGCACCCAGACCCTGTGCCTACCTTGTCATGGCAGGGACACAGGCTTTGCTCCAGCTCTTACGTGTCTTGGGGAAAGTTGGGGGTTGCATTCGTCTGCTGGCCTCAGGAGCCCTGCAGCTCCTGCCTCTTACTGCTGTCCCCCTGTTCCTGAGCTGCAGCTACCTGTGCACCCTCTCCCAGGCTGACCTCCTGTCACAGGAGTCCATATCCCTGGTGTCTCCACACAGCTGCTCTTGGGAGAGCTGGCAAAGAGGAGTGCTATGCCCCTCTACCTCTGCCCTCCCAGCGGGGTCTGGGCATATGTGGCTTATACTTGATCCCCTTCACTTAAGTGTCCCCCTCACTGTGGCTTCCCTCTGGGAGGAGGATGTCTCTGGGTCAGCATCATAGTCCTGGTGGCAAATTCCAGCAACACTGTGTGCCTGGGCTCTCTGTAGGGGTGCTCAGCTGAAGAAAAATCCCCTCCCTTCCACATAGCACTCCACCAACCCCAGAGGACACCCTGAAGGTCACGTACCTTTCTTCCTGGCTGTGTCATCGGGGTCCAGATTCCTGGTCACTGTGACAACCTTAAGGACGAGGTGGTTTCCTCCCTGGCGGATCATGTTCACCACCTGCCTGTGGCCAACTTTGACGACGTTCTCATTGTTAACCTGCAAGGAGGCAGTGAGGACAGGTCAGTGACATGGCGCGGCAAGGTGAGCAGAGTTGGCGGGAAGGAGGGAGGTGGGGCAAAGGTTATTCTGGGCCATCAGCAGCAATGTCGCTGTGGTTGCTCGTGGTGGCAGGGCCAAGTGCCTGTGAGCTGCATCCTCCATCTGTCTCCACAGCCCCAGCCAGCGCTGCAGTTGATGGGCAGGATGGGTGGGGTCTGCCAACACGAGTGTTGTCAGGTGCTCGCTCAGCTACTGTGGCCTGAGCAGTTCTCACATCAGCAGCCCTGTACAGAAGCGCCCCCCCACCCCGGATGTCCAGGGACAGCTGCAGGGACAGTTCTCTACTTTCACAGTGAGCAGGAAACCAGGTCCTGAACTGCTCCCTGCCTATTTTGGGAAAACATTATTTCCTCTGGGTACCCTGTTAGACGGCATAAGAACTTGGCTCCGTAAGGTGCTAAGAGCGGTGAGGCCCCTGCCCGTCACTGGGGGAGAAGGGATAATTGCCCCAGTGCTTACGGGACAGTGGGACACATGGTCGGACCACGTGGGCACTACTCCACTGTTTAGGGGCTCTGGACCCCTTTCCTGCCAGGTCCTCCTCTCCTCTCCCCTCCCTTCCCTGTGGCAGGTAGGTCTGGCATAGAAGCAGAAACAGATTCTAGGGGATACCCATGGCAGAGGTGGGGATGGATGGGCCGTGAACCCCCAGGCCCAGTCCTTTTGCTAAGTGCTTTTTTGACCTTATTAGGCAAAATGCTGCAGCAGCCCTCCTGTGTCCTTTCCCCAAAGGAAAGCCAGAGCAATAAAGATGGCCAGGACAGGTGTCTGTGCTCGATATACCTCCACTCCACCCACCAAATGCGGGCCCCAGCAGGAGGTTTCACATGCTGCAGTGAAAACGCAGAGCCTCCTTGACTCCCTGAGCCACCCCTCCACGTGGGGCCTGGCAGCAGGGCGAGTGGATCCGCAGATGGCCACAGTGGAGATGCTCTCGTGTTGCAGTTCTGGAACCTGCCCCTTGCCTACTGCCAGCTGCCGTGGCACCGGACACTTTGCCCTCCTCGTATCCTCACACAGAAGGGTCACTGCTGGCTGAATTTCACACATCCAATACCGAGTAACCAGACATGCATGAGAAGCCTGAATGAGGCATCTAGCTCCCCACGGTGATTACGGGCACACTGCTGGTCCCATCCCCCCGAGATGGCTGAAGTGGCTCCTCTAGGTCCAGGTCTGGAGGGCTGTGAGTGGCTCTTGGAAGAGGACCCAGCCCCTATGGCTGCTGCTCTGTGGTCTGCTCAGTTCAGCCTAGGCTGGCCTGTTTTCACCCTTAGTGCTCTATGTCCTTTGACCCTGAGGATGCCATCTGGGCAGGCTGTCCTGTGAGGGCCCTGGAGAGAAACCCTTGAGACCAGGGCAGAAGCAGAGTGACTCCTGTGGCTCCTTGTCACTGACTCAGTGTGACTGGGAACCCAGATTAGTTTAGGAAGGAAGAAAGCTGGGTGGGAAAGAAGAATGGGAAGTTCTACGGGTAGGAGTGCTGGCCTACCTTGCCCAGACACTGCTTGTAAGGCCTTCACTGCTCAGTCAGCAGCGCTGGCTTGGGGAGGACACAGCACTGGCTATAGGGGTCCTGTTCCATTGATCCCTTTCTGTCTGTGTTCCTGCCAGTGAGCACACTGGCACAGCACCTACTGCTCAGGAATGTGCTCTCTTATTTACTCACCTACCCAGTACCCTCCTTTGCTCTGGGCGGGCTGCCGACACGAGTGACTGAGCAGTACTAAAGTCAGCTGTGCTGAGCACCACCTCAGAACACAGACAGTGGGGGCATGAAGAGTGACAAGGAGGTCATCCATCAAGGAACATGGTATGTCTGCAGGGTACTAGGTAGCCCAGTGGCCAGGGCAGAGCCAACAAAGAAAGAACAGCAGACAAGACCATGAGTGTCAGATGGCCTGGGCACCAGGTGAGGAGTGACAAGGTCTGATTTGCATTTTAGGACCATGAGTCCTTCTGGACTGGTGAGGCCAGAGCAGAATCCGGGCTGCTGGGGGTAGAGGCAGAATGTCTATCAGGGCTGATGGTGCAGAGGGCGCGGGAGGTGCGAGATTGGAGACATGGAGCAGGAACCAAGCGCGGCTCGCGTGGGGTGAAGGAAGGCAGGATTAGGTGCCACTCCTGGTTTCTGACCTGAGTGGTGTGAGTACCACTCAGGTAGAAGTACCTGCGAGGGAGGGCGCTACCACTCGGGCTCTGGCACTAAAGGGGCTGGCTTCCAACGCCTTAGGGAGACTAGTTGCTTTTAGAATTTTGGAAAGGATCAGAATGAATTATGCATATTGCTGGTCTCAAAAGGTGTCCAGGTGACATTTGGCCAATTACTTTGAGTTGTAGGGGACCTGCAGGTGAATGCATCCAGTCCTGAGCTTGGTTTCCAGCCTCCTGGCCAGAGTCAGGTCACACAGAACACTGGCCTTGCACCCACAGCCATCCCTGCAAAGGGAGCAGGGCATAGATGAGTGTGGGGGAGAGGCAGGCAGCCACCCTGTTTGTCACTGCTTTGTAAGTGCCATCAAAGCACAGGTGTATGCCTATCACGTAGACATACACATGATGGCGGGTGGGGCTGGAGAGTGAGGCCTTCACCTATCTCAGCCCAAACTTGATTGGTAGAGGCCAGTAAAGTGGACCCTAGGTTTGAGAACAGCAGCTCCAGCCTGAACCATGCAGTCCTGACATGCATTTGTCATCAGACTAATGCTGAAATGCCAAGTTCCCAAAGCAGCCAGGCTGGGCAGCAGCTGCAGAAGTGGAGCTTGTGACTTTCGGGTGTTCAGAGATTCTGCCATTCACAGGGACCAGTAGTAGGTACCTCAGTGGTGTACATCTGTGCTGCCCTCATCTGGGTGTGGCTTGCATTTTGCTGTCATGGCACAGACCGTGTCCCCAGGCTCACACGTGCAAGTCCTTATCTCCAAGATGAGGGTATTAGGAGCTGAAGCCTTTGGGAGTGATCAGATCACCAGGGTGACTCACGAGTGGGACTAGTACTTTTACCGAGGGACCCCGAGACCATCTCCCATGTGAGGAAACTGAAGACACAGCTTTCTGCAAACTAGGGAGCAGCCAGGGCTTTGCTCCTGGACCACCCCGCCTCCAGAGCTGGGTGGAAGGAATGCCATCTCAGCTCTGTCAGCATTCTGTCACCAAGCGGACTCAGAACTCAAGTGCCTACTTACCCTGGAACTGAGCCACAGCTCCTGCCTTGGGAACCAACCTACTACCCCTACCTTCATTTCCGCAGTTACGTATATGGCTCCAGGCCTGAGGTGGAGGAGAAGGAGCATCTTGGTCTGCGGGTGATCCAGGAAGGACTAATATTGATTAAAGGGAAGCCTGGAGGCAGGGCCAGAGTTGCAGAACCTGGGGCTACAGCCCACCAGACCTGCAGAGATGGCAAATGTAGCTCTGGCTGGCACAGGCCACAGCCTACAGCAGACTCAGGGCAAGGTTGGCCTTGAGACCTCCTGGGGAGGGGGACACTGCCATTGGAATATGCCAACAGGAGCCCTGGGAAGGACCAGGCCTTGTAGGCAGGCGCCCCATGGTTCTGTCTCCCTCACCTCACAGATTTCCTATAGAAACCCTTCTTGTTTTACAGGGCCTCATCAGTCATGGGAAAGTGGGCCCCTGAGAAGAGGCTGTCTTTGCAGGCCATCCTCCAGTTCTGCTGCTGGACTCAGCCCTCTATGAGGCCTTTGGACACTGCTCCTGTCTTGTCTTCCTCCATCCTGGGGCTGAGGGAGCCCCTCTGCAGAAGGAGATGTCCTCCATGACAGGGCACAGCCAGTGTCTGTGCCACTGTCTTCCACCTTTTGGAGAGCACTTTCACCTCGATGAGCCTCCCCTTGGCTGGGCACAAAGAGGCCAGAGCCTGCATTCCCAGCTGCCTCCCCTTCCAGGGAAAGATGAGGCATAGCCTTTTCCTCAACAGAAGGACCAACTTCTCAAGCAACACAGACATGAGGTGGTAGCAACCACCATGGAGGTGCTCTGACCTTGGATGCTCCTGCTCCCACCCGCCCTGTAATCTTCATCCCCCTCTCCTCTCCTTACACTGGTCTGAAGTGCTCCTTCTGCTTTGAAAAGTAAATAAGCTTTGTTTATGTGGATTCTTCCTAAAGCAGGCAGCATCCCAAGGTTAGAGCTGTAGACTGTGTGGCTTTGTGCTTCTGGGGCAGGGGTCAGCTCCCAGTGTATAGATGAACACTTTAATGAGGCACCACATGCCTAGGACATGCCACATAAGAAGGGCTGGGCAGAGGCACAGGGTGCCTGCAGTACAGCTCAGCTGGGACTGACAAGGCCAGCACCAAACGAAGCAGGATGGAAACCCAGTCACATTCTCCTCCCTACTCCAGCAGGGACAGAGGAGCCAAAACTCTAGCCAACCAGCCTGTAAGCAAACCTAAAATCAGTTTAGCTTGCAATGAGTCTTTGCAACCAGCCATGGTCCTTAAAAACAGATGCTCCAGACTGCCCATGTGCTGACGAAAACCAGAGTAGGTGGAAGGCTTGCTGCTTCCACAGCTGCTCAGGTTAGCACCTTGAACTCATGGGGTTTTAATTCGCTTCAAAACCTGGGCCTGCAATTGTGGCATGTTGCCACCAGGGGGAGGTGTGCCTGCCCTGCTCACTCGCCACGTCCACCGGAGGCTCAGACAAGCACTGAGGCTCCTTGGAGTTACCGCCTCGGAGCAGAGAAAAACTGTTCCCAACCCACAGGTCCAGTTACCTGCAAGAAAGTACCACGCCTTCTGTGCCTCACCGTCACACACAGACATGGGGGGTTTATGGGGGGAGAGAATCACAGCCAGGTCCAGGTGGATGGCAGGAACCCAGGCCATGTGGTACCAGCCATAGTTCAGGGAACTCTGTGAAGAATGGGAACACATGCTTTCCTTTGTAAGAATTTCTCTTCCATTTAAATTGCTGTTTAAGACATCAGAGGTGTGCATGCATGCGTACAATGTGGAGAGAGACAGTTCAACACGACTCATTGCCCACTTCTCATTCTCAAAGCCTCCTGTGGATTCTTTCTGTGTCACTCCATCTCTAAACATCTGCGAATTTACATTTTAGCTATTACCTGCAGACACACCCACTATGGAAAATGATGACTTAGCTTAGGGTTTCTCAGCAGTGGTGCTATTGTGGCTTGGACCACTTCTTTATTGTGGGTGTGCACTGTGGGAGGGTTTGCAGTGTCCCCAAGTTCATTCTACCCATGAGTTACAAGCAACTACTCATGAATGGCAGCGGGATCTTAGATGCACTGCCATGGCTCAGACCACAAGAGCACAGTAACCATCAAACTGACCCCAGGACGGGAAGACCCCCTGGGGGAGAACTTGGCTGCACCAACAACTTGTGCCTGGCTCAAGAGTGAGAACCAGGAGTGTGTCCAGACATTGCCAGATGCCCCGTGGAAGCTCAGACACCCTCCGCTGAGGACCTCAGGTTTAGCTCT